TACTGTGAACGGTTTTGGCCCTTTATTGAAGGAAAGATAGACTGGCAAAAATGGCAGTCCAGAGAAGGCACATGATGTTGATCCTGAGAATGGAGAGACCATTAAATGAGGAGAGATTGAATAGCTTGGGCCTGTGTTCTTTGGAATATAGAAGAATGAGAGGCAACCTAATTGAACAGAAAAGATTCTTAATGAGGCTTGGCAAGGTATATGTGGAAAATTTGCTGCCCCTTTTGAGACTGCCCAGGACCAAAGGGTATAATTTCACAGTAAGGGGTTCACACATTTAAAACAGAGGTGAGGAGGAATTTCTTCCCTTAGAGATTAGTGAATCTGTGGAATTCTTTACCACAGAGGACTGTTGAGGCTGGGTCATTACATATATTCAAGGCTGAGAGAGATTTTTAATTAGTAAGGAAATCAAGAGTTGTGAGGAAAAGGCAGGAATGTGGAATTGAGGATTATCAACCATAACCTTACTGAGTGTCCGAGCAGACTCAATGGGCTGAACAACCTGCTTCTGCTCCTACACCTTATGGTCTTATGGCCATACTTTATATGCTGCCCAGTCATCTGACCTAACACTCATCTTTGTGCAATTAAGTTTGAAGCTCCCCTTAAAGTTTTTAGTAAATTACAGATGGTGTGTTCTCCCCTTAGAATTTTTTCTTTAACACTTTTTTTCTGACTATTCTGAAATGTCCCCTGAAAAGAATTCCACTGTTTCCTTTTTGAACTACCCCCTAGCCTAAATCCTAGGTCACTTCAGCTATTTCAGCTTTTGTGCCTATATAGTGGCTCTTATTTAAGCTTAAAGAACTAGACTTAGACTCACCGTTCTTCCCTTTCAAATGGGACATATAATTCAACCACATGATGGTCACTGCTAATTGGAGGTGTCTTTATTCCAAGGCTATTAACTAATCCTGCCACTCAATCTACCTTGTTGTATAACCAACTGTTCTCTGGTTGGTTCCAGAATATGCTGTTCTTAGAAGTTATCTTAAAAGTATTTTATGAATTTCTCATCCACGCTAACATTGCCAATCTGATTTATCCAATATATAAGTACATTAAAGTTTACCATGTTTACTACCATCCCTTTATCATAAGCAGTCAATATTTCTTCCCATATGCTTTATCCTACATGTGATTACTGTTGGGGGTCTGAAGACTGTGACCACTAATGACTTCTTTCCCCACTATTGTTGCTCTCCATACAGCCCAATTTTACACCCTGAACTCCTAAACTAGGGTGGGATCTATTGCTTACACAAATGCCCCATCCGTGATTAACTCTGCTACCCCGCCACCTTTACCTAACTTTCTATCTTCTTGAATATCATATACCCCTCAATATTCAGGACCCAATCATTATCATCCTGTAGCCACATCTCCATTATAGCTGGCAGATCATGTGTATTTACTTTAGTGTGTAGTGTCAATTAGTTTGTCCTTTTATGAATGCTATATGCATTTAGATAGGGGCTTTTGTTTTGACTTTTATTATCTTTGTAACATCTAGTCTTGATTGTTTGTATATTCTTTGGTTCATTCTCTGTTACTTCCTGCCATTCTTTGACCTTCATTTCCCATATTATTATGTTGCTCACCTGCCTTGATTTGCAACACGAACTGAATCATAATCCCTCATTCCTACTTCCTAGCTAATACAGTTTAGTAGAAAGCTGATTCCAGTATGGTTCAGTTGCACACTGCTATAAAGGTGAAGCCTCCACTTTCTCCAGCACTAATGCCACTGCCCCACAAACTGTAACCCATTTGACCCATTAATACTTCTCCATTGGGATTCTAATCTTCAATATCGTCACCAGCTAGGCAACATAGCTGACTGCACACATGCTCATGGCTGAACAGAACACTGTCTATTCCCCTCACTATGCCATCTCCAACTACTTCTTACTTACCCTGCTTGAAATGAGTCCTGAGCCAAGGCACTCTGGTCAATTCTCTAGCCTGCAGACCTTGCTGTTGACCACACTGATGAGCACTTCAAACTTGTTACCCCTTCACTGCAGTATTCTTTGAGCCATTATCTGTCCCACTCATGATCCCACCCTCCTGATCCTTATTCCAAATGGCATTGGACTTCCCTATGCTAAGGGCTGTGACACCTTCTGAATCAAAGTGTCCAGGTATACCTCCCCCTCCCTGATGCATCACAATATCTTCAATGAAGTCTTCAGTTCAGTAACTCTAAGTTGCAATTCCTGTAGTTTTAGACACTTGCTACAGGTATGTGCTCTGGATCATGTTTGAGTTCAGAAGGACAGGGATATAATGCCTGTCTCCCCATTGTCTGTATGCTAATTTGTGAACTGTAAATCAATAATCCTTTTATTCATTCACGGGATGAAGGCATCGCTGGCTAGGGCAGTATTTATTGCCATCCCTAATTGCCCAGAGGGCAGTTCAGAGTCAACCACATTGCTGTGGGTCTGGAGTCACATGTAGGCCAGACCAGGTAAGGATGGCAGTTTCCTTCCCTAAAGGGCATTAGTGAACCAGATGGGTTTTTCCAACAATCGACAATGGATACACGGTCATCATTAGATTCTTAATTGCAGATATTTTATTGAATTCAAATTCCACCATCTGCTGTGGCAGGATTCGAACCTGTGTCCCCAGAACATTATCTAGGTCTCTGGATTAACAGTCCAGCGATAATACCACTAGGCCATCCCCTCCCCTCACTTAAAATTAATTGTTAGTGCATATCACAGTTTCACTATATTAATTGTTGAAATAGTTCTAAAATGAAGGTTCATCCTTTTAGGACAGAGACAAGGAGAGATTGTTTCCCTCGGATGGTTGTGCAACTTTGGAACTCTGCCTGCAGGTGCAGCATTAGGCAGAAGTAGATAGATTCTTCCTAGGCAAGAGAATCAAATGTTATCGAAGATAGATGGGAATGGGAATTCAAAACTCAGACAGATCAGCCATGATCTTATTGAATGACGGAGCAGTTTTGAAGGGCCAAATGGCCTACTTCTACAACAACAATAACAGAAGTTGCTGGAAAGCCTCAGCAGGTCTGGCAGCATCTGTGGAGAGAAATCAGAGTTAACGATTTGGGTCGAGTGACCCTTCCTCACAACCTTCTTCTGGCCTACTTCTAGATCTGTTTCATATGTTTATGTACCGTTACAACCTAAAGTTATATGTAAACATTTAACAGGTAATCAATTTACCAGACTCCTATGCTGTCATTCTTGACTTTCATCTGTTTTACAAATGGAGTGTGCAATGATTCCCAGCAGCTGAATTGGTACATTCCAAAAGGGTTTGGAAAGGAAAAGCAAAGGTACTTCTTCCATACTTCACCAAACTCCCACACTATCAAACTCCTAAAGCTTCTACTCTGTGCCAGCTACACTCCATGCTAGATGCACTGCACACAGGCTCCCATCTATACTGCTTGTGATATTGATGAGTTAGTTCTGCTCTGCTACTATTCAAGAACTGGTTTTAGATAGCTTCCTAATTGACTAACTGCACCCCATTGCTCTCCTTAGTTTACCCTGAAAAACTTTAGGTTTTAAATCCAACAAACGGAAAATCTTACTTAAATACTAAAAGCAACCAATGTCAGATTTTAAAACAAGATTAAACCCGCTATGATGATAGGAAGGAAATTCCAGGATTCTGACCCAGTGACACTGAAGGAACAGTGATATATTTCCAAGTCAGAATGATGAGTGGCTTGGAGGGGAACTTGCAGGGGGTGGTGTTCCCATGTATCTGCTGTCCTTGTTCTTCTAGATGGAAGTGGTTGTGGGTTTGGAAGGTGCTAAAAATACATTGTCGTTATTTAAAATTATTTATTGAGTCAGTAACTGAGAGGGACAGTTGCGAACTTTGCATGAAGTAGTGGTTCCTTATTTTTCTATGAATTTTGAATACACTAATTTTAAGAATGCTTCCCTTGTCCCAGACTCCTTACAAGTGGGAAGAAATTTCTTCCCATGCACTCTATGTCACACAATTTCAAAGAAAAATTGAAAGTGGTGGTCTTTCATCTGTTGATGTTCAGTCCAGTGGTGAGGCTGTAGCAAATGAAGCATTATTCCTCAAGCTTGTGTTGGGAGACATTGGAAGTCCAGGATGCCACTGTCATTGTGAGATGAAGATTTGAAAACTTAGGGTCACGCTTGTGGACTGAGTGGAGATGTTCATCTTAAACAGTCAACAAATCTGTGTTTGGGCTTCTCAGTATAGAGTCAGCAATGAATCCATTTTACTAAATTAATTATTGAGTGTTAGCTAAGGAGTCACTGAGATCTGAGATCAACCACCTCAAAGAATTATACTTTTAAATTATACTTATTGCTGTTATTTTTATACAAAAGTTACTTTATTACAAATATATACAGACACTGGCAACTCAATTGAATAGCATCTACAGTTAGTATAAATAGGACAGTCTGAATGCATTGTGAACAAATCCTGTGTATGATTCCTGCCCAGGTATCATAGTCATACATAATCCTGCAACTATTTACAGTCTCTGACACACAAATGCTACTGTTCATTTACAGCTTTGTATGCACAGTTTTTGTTCTTTCCAATCATAATATTCTTGAGATGGGTGATAAAAATATATCAGGAATAAAAGTTTCTTACTAAATCTGAAATGGATTCAATTATTGCAATTTCATCATGTGCTGGATGAAGAGGGGCATTTTGTCATATCCTAGCTGAATACCACTTTTAATCACTCCCTGGTATAGTGTCCAACTCTGAAATCATAGAATCCCTACAGTGTGGAAACAGGCCCTTCAGCCCAACAAGTCCACACTGACCCTCAGAGCATCCCACCCAGACCCATCACCCTATAACCCACCTAATCTACACATCCCTGAACACTATGTGCAATTTAGCATGGCCAATCCAACTGCACATATTTGGACTGTGGGAGGAAACTGGAGCACCCAGAGAAAACCCACACAGACACAGGGAGAATGTATAAACTCCACACAGTCACCCGAGGGTGGAATCGAACCCAGGTCCCTGGTGCTGTGAGGCAGCAGTGCTAACCACTGAGCCACTGAGCCACCATGCCACCCTATGATGAGTATATCTTGCTTTTGATCACTCTCAACATGACGAGGTGATATGTCCTCTTTGCTCTAAAATATGTCCTCCCACCAAGGTGGATCAGGGAATTAATTCTGTCCTACTTGCTTTATCCTGTCATGCTTCATAAAGTCTCCACTCTGGCATTTTCTGAGACTGGGGGGTGTGTTACCAAAATGCTTCTGTGTCACTGGGGGTCAGTTTTGTTACAATCCCATGCATTGTCTCGAAGCCCTGGGTTTTGTGATATTAATCAGGGCTGCACACAGTGTTCCAGGTGTAACCTGACTGGATGATCTCAAGACTGCGAGGTAAATTCAACCCAGGCGACCAGACAACACTATAATCTAAATCTGTGACTCCTGCACCCTCTTAGCACAGCTCAATAATGGCAGAGGGGGAATTTTACTACATGCAGTGGGTCAATGCATGCAAGGCTCATGAACAGGAGAGGTGCCCACAGCCAATAGGCATTGAGGAGTTTTCAATCAGTATCTACCAAGATAGACCCTTCTCAACCTCCAACTATCTTAGAAGATTTTTTCAGAGAATGAAGACCTTTTGAAGTATATTCTCTTTATAGAAAACACAGCAGCCAAATACCTACAAACAGCAATGAGATAAATGTTTTGGGAGTTGGTTGAGGTGTAAATATGAGCCAAGCATCAGCAGTAGGAATCACAGTCAGCATTCTTAACCTATCACCAGATCAATTAGGATGATCCCACTTGATCTGTATCCTTAAAATCCTGAACAGAAAAGACAGTGACTGGTCACCCTCCCCACCAGAACTGCACAGACAGCTCTCAGTAGAACAATACATTTATCACCGGGAGACAAGTGGGAGTGTGAGAGGAATATGACACAGAAGGCTGTGTTGCAATGTCTTCTGGGCCAAGTTAATTTTGGAATTACTCAGAGCTGAAACACTGTGGGACATCCTGAATATTGAAAGATGCGTATCGACAAAAGGATTCTTGTTTAAGGGTTGATCAGATTTCTCCCCTGATCTCAGAGTTTTTGTTAAGGTACCCGTTTGAATCTGAGTATAAGCCTCAACAGAGAGTGGTGACAGAAGCCATCACAGTTGAGATCGATTCTGCCTTCGCCCATTGCAGTATACAGTGTGGAATGCAGGGAAGTAGTCAGGATCCACAATGATTAGTGTCCTCCCTCATTGAGGTCAGGAGTAGCGATCCTTCCCCTGTAATCAGCTAATTCAGTACAGTGCTAGAGTTCAACCTGACATCATGTTCTAAGACTGAGCGCTGCACTAGCACAGAATCATCAGGGGAAAGCGATGGGATTTTTCCTCTTTAAACCTAAAAATAACTTTGCTATTTGTATTTATATAAAGCTGCCCTCGTACAGAAGTCAGTCTTTGGGGGGGCATGGATTAGCCAAGCAGTATGAGGCAGTACCAAAGCACTCACCAAGGGCATAATTTGATAAATTGGCACAAAGCCAAAGGAGATGACACTGGGTCAGGAGACCAAAAGCTCGGCTCAAGATCTAGGTTTAAGGAGTGGTTTAAAGAGAGAGGAGAGGTGGAGATATCGCAGGATGGAGGGAATTCCAGAGATAGGAAGATATGGCTACCAATAATGGAATGATGAATATCAGGAATGAACAAGAGGCCAGAATAGCCACCATTCTGTACAGCTAGACCTAATTGCTGGTCAATCTGTTTAAAGTAAATCTGATCTTTTAGAACAGTTACCTCCCAGCAGAGGTAGTTAAAGCAAGGATGGCTTTAAAATCTCATATCATTAGATAATAGTGTTTACGTCTGCGCTTTGATGTGCTTCCATTTCCTGTAAGAGAACAGTCTACTTTGAAGTGAGCTGGAGCAGTTAGTGCAGGAGATCCTTGCGCTGGATTGTCTGGTACCACACTGCCGTGGGGAGATTTTGACATCCCATGTACTCCCGCTTCACCTCTTCTGGAGTCAGAGGTGGGTTGTCATAGCAAGGTCCTCCGTAGATGGTGCTGTTCAGGAGCCCAGGCGTAGACTCAACTACCCCAGGAGTCAAAGAGGCAGCCCATGCAACATTCTGGGAAAAACAAAGTCACAAAGTGTTAAGACTTTTCCAAGCTGAAGATAAAACCTCTTCATACAGAGGGTGGTGGGGATCTGAAATGCACTACCTGGGAGGGAAGTTGAGGCAAGAAACTTCACAACCTTTAAAAAGTACTTGGATGATCACGTGAAATGTAATTACATTTAAGGCCGGAAAGTGGGCCTAGTATAGATTTAGAGTTGTTTTCTGTCAGTGCAGACTTGATGGGCCAAAGGGCCCCTTCTGTACTGTATGAGTCTATGATAACTCAACAGCAGGTTTACTGTGATAGGAGTACTGATGTCCAATTCCCTGCGAAACAAAACCTATCACTTGTACTACGATGGCTCCTCCCAATTAGATAGGGTGACATGGTGGTTCAATGGTTAACACTGCTGCCTCACAGTCCCAGAGATCCAGGTTTGATTCCACCCTTGCGCAACCGTGTGGAGTTTGCATGTTCTCCCTGTGTCTGCGTGGGTTTCAGCTGGGTGCTGTGGTTTCCTCCAACAGACCAAAGATGTGCAGGTTAGGTGGATTGGCCATGGGAAATGCAGGGTTATAGGGTGGCAGGTGGGCCTGAAATGGGTTGCTCTTCAGAGGGTCAGCGTGACTGAATGGCTGGCTTCCACATTGTAGGGATTCTATGATACACTAATCCCAGTCACAAACTATTGCGCCAGCCTTTCACTATTTTATTCTCACAAACATGACTGAGGTTTTGGTCCAATTCCTTTGCTGACTTTTCCCACAGTTTGTTTTGACTGTTCACTAGACAACAAATATATCAGAAGGTCCATAACGGCCCTTGACATCAGAGTGTGTTCCCACCCACCAGTCTTGTCAATTGAGCACATTATACCTTGTCTAGTGAAAGCACAATCTTGTGCCCTATGAAATCTGAAGAATAGGAAGAGGTTAAGAAGACAAGAGGTGCTTGTGCCCTTGATACGGTGAGAGAGAAAGATGAAGTATTCCCCAGTAGAGTGAGCGAAGTCTGGGGAGGCAGTGTGCTATGCTGAGGAACAAAGAGAGGTCTGCTCCCCAGTGTGGGCAGAGAGAATGAACAGGCTGTTCCCCATTGTGAAGAGGGGAGCTGTGTCTCCAATAGAGTGCAATAAGCAATGTACCCACTTCCCTTCATTGTAAGGATATTGTGCAGTGGAGATAGTTATCCTCCCATCAAGCTATAACATAGCAGCACAAATGGAAGAAATATCCATGGGGGGGAGGGGGTTGGGGGTGGTGAAGAAGCATTTAATACTTACTACTAGTTTGTGAAAAAAGACTCCAGTTCTGTGTCAACTTACTGTGAAACTGTCAATGACACATATTTGTAAATTTAGCCCTGAGCCTGTGATGGATTTTACCACCTACCCTATTGGTGAGGTCAGTCTTTGGGCAGTAGCAATTAGACAGACAGAATGAGGTCAGAGAGGTCAAGGGTTTATATTTCTTTTAGACACTATGTATGTCCTCAAATAACTTCAACTGACCTTGAAGAGGTAATCGATGAGACATTGATTGGGATGAAGTTCTCCCCAAAATTCTGTGAAGCAGGAGGCCCAGGTGAACTCTGATCCTCTGCTGTTGCTGATCAGAATAACATTTGGATGCTTTTTGGAAGAAAGCAGTTTCTTTGCCAGTGTTCCAGGGTAGCTTTGATCAACGAATATTAATACCCTGTGTGCATTACACCCTTCCAGATCCATCAACAACTCTCCCACCGTATACTTCTCCTTCTGATCAGCCTGAAAATGTAATTAATGCACAGTGTCACTCAACCATTCAAACCAGCACATTTACCTGTACACCATCTCAGCCATTGAACTGGCACAACCCTACAGATCAGAAAATAATACTTTCAAAGTTTGACTGCATGCTTTACTTTTCATTAAAACTCAATCTTGTGATGTGTGCGTGACTGACACACATATTGCTTATAACTCAGGAATTTCTGACAGGACTGAGTGACTTGCTATGGAGGGCAGTTAATGCATGATGTTACTGGACTGGAGTCATGTATTGACCAGTACAGGTAAAGAGGGCAGATTTCCTTCTCTAAAGGAATTTAATGAACCAGATGGGTGTTTAGTAACAATCCAACAGCTTTATAGTCAGTTTAAATCTCTCACTTTGTTATTTCTGTACATTTTAACTGAATTCAAATTGCAGTCAGTCTTGGTCAAAGGTGCCTAATTATGACACCAGTGTAAAAGATCCTAGGACCAGCATCCCCTCTAATTTTCTCACTGGCTGTGCAGGCCTCTGAGAGCTGTATAAGGCAGTGACTCTGGAACCAGAGATCAATGCCATGATTGGTGGCTGAAGATGATGACCATGCACGAAACACCGTACACAGAACACCATATATGGAACATCAGAGCAGCTATGCACACAGCCAAGAGAGAACGTTGCCTATGACTCTATCTGAAGGACAGCAAGTGAATTCTCTCCAGTGTCCTGGGCAGATACGTTTTCCTCAGCCAAAATTTACTGGAGTTTAGAAGAACGAGGGGAGATCTCATAGAAACCTATAAAATTCCAACAGGACTGGACAGGACAAACTCAGGGAAACTGTTCCCAATGACCGGGGAGTCCAGAATCAGGGCTCACAGTGTCAGGATACAAGGTAGGCCATTTAGGACTGAGATGATGAGAAATGTCTTCACCCAGAGAATGGGGAGCCTGTGGAATTCTCTGCCACAGAAAGCAGTTGAGGCCAAAACATTGAATGTTTTCAAGAAGGAGTTAAATACACTTCTTAGGCTAAAGAGATCAAAGAATGTGGAGAGAAGGTAGGAATAGCATTCTGAGTTGGATCAGTGCCATGAACTTATTGAATAGAACAGCAAACTCAAAGGGCCAAATGGCCTATTCCTGCTCCTATTTCCTATGTTTTTGAAAGATTTAAACTGACCATGAAGCCACATCTGGTTTACTATTGTCCTTTAAGGAAGGAAATCTGCTGTCCTTACCCAGTCCAAGTGACTCCAGTCCAACAGCTTCATGTTTGACTCTTATTGCCCTCCATAGGTCAATCACATCACTGTTTGTGGGATCTTGTTGTGCAAAACATCAAACATGCTCCATTGGCTGTATAACGCTTTGAGACATTCTGAGGTGGTGTAAGGAGAGGTCCAAATGGGATTTCTTTCATTTCCGAAGTCACTAAGGCAGGACCACCTGAACAAGATAATTGGTAAGATTGCCATTAAGTAAAGGTCATGTAGTACAGTATAATGCAAGTGGCAGTACGTTGGTGATTAAGTAAAACATTCACCCCCAAGTAGAAATGAGTCTGCTCAATGCTTTGTAAAGTTAAGCTGTCTCTGGCAGAAAGTCAATATCCTGTAAATGCACCTGCACAACCCACAGTTGATGACTTAGGGAGATTACTGATAAATTACATTCCAGGCATGGTATTTATCTTAAGAAATTTAAAAAAATGAGAGCTGATTGCCAGACTGTAATGAATTTGCCAAAAGCTTCCCTCTATTTCCTGGATTACTTGACAGGACAAAAAGAAAACACAGGAATTAAGATGAGATGAAAGTGTGGCTTGTCCAGCCTCTTGGAACTCAACTCTTGTAGTTTCTATCTTTTGTGATCCACCTAATCCTGACCCTGAAAAGATGCATTAGGTGGACCATTGTTCAGCTCTCTCCACTCGTCTCTCAGATTGGCAAATAAACGCTTAACGATTGTCCTTTCATCCACTTGAGTGCCTTTGGTGGCCCTCACGCAGAACAAACTCCCTTTAAACAAAACCTTTTCATTCCCAGAAGTGATTACCTTGGGTTACGGCTGGGCAATGATATAGGGAGAAGGAATAGTTTTCTTCACATTGTGTCTTGCAGTTGGCAAAAGTGGGACTGTAAGAAACAAGCTGAGCTATACCTGTACTGACTCACCTTAAATTCCACCAACAAATCCGAACTCCAGCTGTACTGAGGCTCAGTGTGGAAGGCCTAAGTCGTTAAATGCAGTAAAACCCACACACTATTGTAGTTTTTGAGGCACATGCTATTCTAAGGTATAAAACATAATAGCTTATTTGTGCAGAGCAAATCCTACCCACACTGATGTGATAATGACCAGATATCCTGTTGAGATCAAGGAATGGGTATTGGCCAGGATTCTGGAAAACAAACTGTCCTGATGTTCTTAAAATAGTGGACAAAGTCAGAAGTCACACAACAGCAGGCCATAGTCTAACAGGTTTATTTAAAATCATAAGCTTTCGGAGCGCTGGCCCTTCATTATGTGAAGTTGGGAGTTAGGGCTTCACCTGACAAAGGGGCAGCGCTCTGAAAGCTTGTGATTTTAAATAAACCTGTTGGACTATAACCTGGTGTCGTGTGACTTCTGACTTTGTCCACCCCTGTCCAACACCGGCACCTCCACGTCATGGCTTAAAATAGTGGACTTGGGATCTTTTAAGTCTACAGGACTGGGCTGATGGAAGATCAGGTTAACATATTGTCTCCAAATGTAAAATATAACAGTGAGTAGTCAGCCTACAATCCAAAGGGAAAGCTTGCTTGGTCAACCTTTCTGAATCTTTCGAGGAGGTAACAGCAAGAATAGACACTGGTGATGCAGTAGATGTAATTTATCTGCATTCTCCAGAACAGAACAATAATAGACTGTTGAATAAGGTCAGAGAATGCAAAGATAGAGGAAAGAATAGACTGCTAGCTGGCTTCAAGATAGAAAGTGGAGAGTGGGAATATTCAGTTGTTATTCAGAGTACCAGAAATGAAACTGGGAATGCAAAGAACATTTCTTTATCTATAGAAGATACATTGATTGATTTATTATTGTCTCATTCACTGAGATACAGTGAAAAGTTTTGTTTTGCATGCCATACAGGCAGATCATTACCATTCAAAGTGCATCAGATTAGCAGAACAGAGTGTTACAGCCACAGAGAGGGCGCAGAGAGAGAGAGGTCAGATTTAACATTTGAAAGGTCCATTCAAGTCTGAAAACAGTGTGGAAGAAGCTGTTCTTGAGTCTATTTGCATGAAGAGAGTATAACCAGGATGGGAGGGGTCTTTGAGTATGTTAGTTGCTTTCCTGAGGCAGTGGGAAGTATAGATGGAGTCAGTGGATGGAAGGCTGGTTTGTGTGATGGACTGGGCTGTGTTCACAACTCTCTGTAGTTTCTTGCAGCCTTGGGAAGAGCAGTTGCCAAACCACGCTTTGTTGCATCCAGACAGGATGCTTTCTATGGTGCAGCTATTAAAAAAGTGAGTGAGAATATGGAACTCATGCCCATAGCAAATTGTTTACTTTATAGATGCATTAAAGAGGAAGGTAGATAATTTGCAGATGACACTAAGATTGGTGGAGTAGCAGAGAGTGAAGGGGACTGTTGGAGAATGCAGCAGAATATAGATAGATTGGAGAGTTGGGCGGAGAAATGGCAGATGGAGTTCAATCCAGGCAAATGTGAGGTGATGCATTTTGGAAGATCCAATTCAAGAGTGAACTATGTGGTAAATGGAAAAGCCCTGGGGAAAATTGATGCACAGAGAGATCTGGGTGTTCAGGTCCATTGTACCCTGAAGGTAGCAACGCAGGTCAATAGAGTGGTCAAGAAGGCATACGGCATGCTTTCATTCATCGGACGGGGTATTGAGTACAAGAGTCGGCAGGTCATGTTACAGTTGTATAGGACTTTGGTTCGACCACATTTGGAATACTACGTACAGTTCTGGTTGCCACATTACCAAAAGGATGTGTGTGCTTTGGAGTGGGCACAGAGGAGACTCACCAGGATGTTGCCTGGTATGGAGGGTGCTAACTATGAAGAGAGGTTGAGTAGATTAGGATTATTTACATTAGAAAGATGGAGGTTGAGGGGGGACCTGATTGAGGTCTACAAAATCATGAGAGGTATAGACAGGGTGGATAGCAAGAAGCTTTTTCCTAGAGTGGGGGACTCAATTACTCGGGGTCATGATTTCAAGGTGAGAGGGGAAAAGTTTAAGGGAGATATGCGTGGAAAGTTCTTTAGGGTGGTGGGTGCCTGGAACGCGTTGCTACCGGAGGTGGTAGAGGCGGGCACGATAGCGTCATTTACGATATATCTGGACAGATACATGAATGGGCAGGGAGCAGAGGGATACAGATCCTTGGAAAATAGGCAACAGGTTTAGTTAGAGAATCTGGATCGGCGCAGACTTGAAGGGCCGAAGGACCTGTTCCTGTGCTGGAATTTTCTTTGTTCTTTGTAGACAGACGATTATTCTAAGATTATTCTGTTATTCTAAGAAAGTGGGATGGGGAAAGACAGGAGAAGGTTTAAGTTAAGATAAACACCAGAATGACCTGTGTGGTATATCCAAAGTAAAAATAAGGCATCACTGACAGTGTAATGCTCCGTCAGTTTTGCACGTTGAGTATCACTTTGTTTCAATAATTCAGTCCCTGGTTTGGGACTTGAATATGGAATGACGTTGCAGGCAACTAGAATGTTGATGTTTGATTAAATACCTACAATGCCATTCTTATTGACGTCCCAGAGCAACATGGTCCCATCATTCCTTGTGGGGCTGTTGAGATATAGAACCAGAGAATCAGCACAGTTGATGGCACGGCAGATATAGGAGATGTGGCTACGGATCATCACCTTCTCTGTGGCTGGATAGATGTCCTCAGTCTCCTCATCCACTACACAGAATGAAAACAATGAAATTACCAAGAGTCTCAGGTCAATCCATGTTAAACAATGAAAGTAAACAATATTTATCTTTCGACCAACATCACTACGACAATAAATCAGATCATATCACACCGCTGTTTGTGGAAATTTTCTCTGAACAAACCAACTGATGTGCTTCCTCTATTACAACAGTAACTACACTCAAGAATAACCTCATTGGCTAGAAAGTATTTAACACATCCTGAGCTCATGCAGGGTATGATAAAAATTGAAATCTTTTTCTGATTTATCTTCCTCAATTTCTTGTCCTCATGCTCCTTCAAGTATTTATCCAATTGCCTTTGACAAGTTATTATTGAATCTGATTCCATTGCCAAGTTAAATCCACCTCAATGGTTTATATTTAACCAAATCCACCTGTATTAACTGAGAATCTGGTTATGTTGTGCTATTGGATGCAGTTACTGCTTTATTGTCATGGGTAATGGTTCACTCACATTGCTGTGGATCTGGAGACACATATAGACCGGACCAGGTAAGGATGCCAGATTTCCTTCCCTGAAGGACATTAGTGAACCAATGGGCTGTTATGATAATCAACAAGAGTATACATGATTACCATTAGGCCAGCTCTTCATTCCAGATCTTACTGAATTCGGATTTCACTGTCTGCCATGGTGTGAATTCTCTTGTCCTCAGAACTCTGGATTGCTACTCCAGTGACATTACCACTACACCATTACTTTTGAGAAATATGAAACAATATTATTTTATTGGGACATCGAGTCCAGGCTCACTGGCATGATTTGTTGTGGGATCAGAAGGACTCAGCACAGTAACTCCTCTGATTTTTCAGTTTGCTGTTTAACATAGACTCTGCAGATGACACTAAGACTGGTAGAGTAGCAGATAGTGAAGGGGACTGTCGGAGAATGCAGCAGAATATAGATAGATTGGAGAGTTGGGCAGAGAAATAGCAGATGGAGTTCAATCCAGGCAAATGTGAGCTGATGCATTTTGGAAGATCCAATTCAAGAGCGAACCATACAGTAAATGGAAAAGCCCTGGGGAAAATTGATGCACAGAGAGATCTGGGTGTTCAGGTCCATTGTACCCTGAAGGTGGCAACGCAGGTCGATAGAGTGGTCAAGAAGGCATACGGCATGCTTTCATTCATCGGACGAGGTATTGAGTACAAGAGTTGGCAGGTCATGTTACAGTTGTATAGGACTTTGGTTCGACCACATTTGGAATACTGCGTACAGTTCTGGTGGCCACATTACCAAAAGGATGTGGATGCTTTGGAGAGGGTGCAGAGGATGTTGCCTGGTATGGAGGGTGCTAGCTGTGAAGAGGGGTTGAGTAGATTAGGATTATTTACATTAGAAAGATGGAGGTTGAGGGGAGAACTGATTGAGGTCTACAAAATCATGAGAGGTATAGACAGGGTGGATAGCAAGAAGCTTTTTCCCAGAGTGGGGGACTCAATTACTAGGGGTCACGATTTCAAGGTGAGAGGGGAAAAGTTTAAGAGAGATATGCATGGAAAGTTCTTTACGCAGAGGGTGGTGGGTGCCTGGAACGCATTGCCAGCGGAGGTGGTAGAGGCGGGCACGATCGCGTCATTTAAGATGTATCTAGACAGTTATATGAATGGGCAGGGAGCAGAGGGATACAGATCCTTGGAAAATAGGCAACAGGTTTAGATAGAGGATCTGGATCGGCGCAGGCTTGGAGGGCCGAAGGACCTGTTCCTGTGCTGTAATTTTCTTTGTTATTTGTTCTTTGTTCTATGAGGAGAGTGAAATAAGAGACCTCCAGAAGTTAGCTACAACAATCTCACCAGCTCCCCTTTCACTGTAAAGTTGCTGTGCAATTTTCCATCAAAACAGCAGAAAAATCACATTCTGAAAAACTGAAGAAATAATCTAAAACCTAACGACCACTCAAAATAACCCGGGTCCAACCAAGTAGCCAATGAATTAAAGACTGATCATGGTGCGCAGGTATCATAGAATCCCTACAGTGTGGAAGCAGGCCATTCAGCCCATTCAGTCCGCATAGACCCTGTAACCCTGCATTTCCCACGGCTAGTCCACCTAGCCTGCACATCTTTGGACTGTGGGAGGAAACCGGAGCACGGAGGAAACCCACACAGATACAAAGAGAATGTATTAACTCCACACAGATAGTCACCCGAGGATGAAATCAAACCCGGGTCCCTGGCGCTGTGAGGTAGCCCTGCTAACCATTGAGCCACTATGCCACACCATTGGCAATGTTGGGATATCATTGAAGAATTGAAAGGTTTGTAAAACCAATCACAAGTTTTGTGTTTTGGATTGGTGATACAGAACTGTGTGGTCTTGACAATACTTTCCTCCTCCATTCATAACATTTGTGTTTTGTCTTTTTTTCTCTTTGTGTTTGAGTGTGGGAGTTTTAAAGGGGTAAAGTTTAAGTTACAATAAACAGAATAATTGCTGCTCTTGTTAAAGTTAAGAGTGCTACAATAAATAATACTTTTTTATCAAAAAAAAACAAAAAACAAAGAGTGCTGGAGAAACTCAGCAGCTCCGACAGTATTGGTTACCATTTTGAGTCCAGATCTCACTGAGTTTCTCCAGCACTTTGTTTTCGTGTTTCAGAATTCCAGCATCGCAGTTCTTTCTTTGATTTTGTATTATTACTGGAATCTGGTGAGTTATACTGTTATCCTGGGTGCAGTTTGCAAGAGGCAAATTGGGATTTTCAGTCCTTTCATTAAATCTTCATATTTGCAGCGATTCCAGAAATAGTGGATTTGATTTCTCGTATGCTAGTCCAGTGAGTCATGGCAATGATGTGACTGTTTACCAGGGATATGGCTATTTCAGCCAGTACTGCCTATAGTTTACTTGTACTTACCCGAGATCCCTCCGTCTCCTGCAAAGAAGGTTTTGATATTCTCTGTTCGGAAGCCATTCCTCCTCAACATTCGATAAAAGTGTAACACATTGTAAACGTGCCTTTGGTATGTGAGGTGTTCCTTCCACCCGCCTGAAAATTAATGTAATCGCAGGATTAAGGGGGTAAATCCATAGGCAATAGCCAAATGTATTCCTGAAACTCATCCCACACAGTTAAGCTGATGCTTATTATCGAGTCATACTGATGTACAGCACAGAAATAGACCCTTCAGTCCAACTTGTCCATGCTGACCGGATATCCTAAATTAATCTAGTCCCATTTGCCAGCATTTGGCCCATGTCCCTCTAAACCCTTCCTATGCGTGTACCTGTCCAGATGCCTTTTAAAAGTTGTCATTGTACCAGCCTCCACCACTTCCCCTAGCAGCTCATTCCATACACACACCACTCTCTGTGTGAAGAAGTTGCCACTTAGTTTCCTTTTAAATCTTTCCCATCTCACCTTAAACTTATGCCCTTTAGTTTTGGACTTCCCTTATCTGGGAAAAAGACCTTGTCTATTTACCCTTTCCATGCCCCTCATGATTTTATAAACCTCTGTAAGGTCACCCCTCAGCCTCCAACACTTCAGAGAAAATAGCCCCCAGCCTATTCAGCCTCTCCCTATAACTCAAACCCTCCAGTCCTGGCAACATTCTTGTCAATCTTTTTTGCACCCTTTCAAATTTCACAACATCTGTCCTCTTGCCCTTTTCACCAATAAGCTATTCTGGCCATTATCACATTGCTTCATCTTTTTCGTAATTGCCCTTTGCCTTCACTCTTCCTTGTCTGTCTTTATCCTCCCTGCCTTGTCGTGCCTCTATATGCCCCTCCTTACCTATCCCTCACACTCTCTATCCTACATCTCTGTCTATCTAATTTCACTTCTTCTCTGACCATTCCTTCCATCTCTGACTCTCTCTTTCCATTCGAGTACACCCTGTCCCATTTCTGAGCCCCTCTTTCACTGTTGTCTCCTCTTACTCCTTACTCCTCTCTCCTTTCTCTTCCTTCACACCATTTCCCTGTCCCTCATTCTCTCACACTCTGTCTTTCTCTCGTTATCTCACTTATTCTCTCTCTCTGTCACTCTCACACACACACACACACACACACTCTGTCTCTCTCACAAACACACACACACGCACACACACTGTCTCTCTCCCACACACACACTGTCTCTCTCACAAAAACACACACACAGACACGCGTGTGTGCAAATCTCACCAGAGAGCAGCACTCCATGGTCACAGGTTTGGTACATTCGACAGGATTTCTGTGAAGAGAGTTGTTGTCGATGACACCGGCGTGTGTTTTTATTTAGCTCACAGTTGGCGACGGCAGGATTGGGGCTGCTGATGCTGAGAGGCTGAGGGCAGGCAGCAAAGCCCTTCTGTTCTGGAAGGAGTCAGGGCAGTGTTAACGTGGAGACAATTCCTTCAAACCAAATTCAAAGCTAATAGAGGACCATGCAAAGGTCCCTCAAAGCAAATCATTTGATCAGACATCAGAGTAGGGACTGATCTAATCCCAGAATGAAATCTGACATTCTAGAATCAAATTCTGGCTCCCCCCAAAATATTTCTGAGGCAATTTACCTGAACGTGCCCATTGGGAAATTATTGGGATTGGATGCAATGCTATTTACATACATCCAACTTCTATAAGAAATAGGAATGACTTATGCAACTCCTCAACCTCAACATCACCATCAATTCCCTTAGTGTCTATCAATCTGTCATGGCCCATCGGGTTTATCCTAGCCCTTTGTAAGAGCTGTTTGGCTAGTTATTTTTCTGTTACTCTAAATTTTTATTTACTTCACAAGTTTATCCAATTCCCTTTTCAAACATTCCATGGAATTGGCCTTCCCATATTCTCAGGGAGTTCATTCCAGATCACGGTAAAAATAGGGCTGAGTCAGCACAGCTTCAACAAGGGGAGGTCATGCCTAACAAATCTGTTAGAATTCTTTGAAGAGATAATGAGCAAGTCAGTCAAAGGAGAACCAATGGATATGATCTATTTGGATTTCCAGAAGGCCTTCGACAATGCTAAACAGGAGCCCACTAAATAAGATAAGAGCCCATGGTGTTAGGGGTAAGGTACTGCCATGGATAGAAGATTGGCTGAGTGGCAGAAGGCAAAAAGTGGGGATAAAGGAAACTTTTTCAGGATGGCAGCTGATGACTAGTGGAGTTCTGCAGGGGTCAGTGTTAGAACCACAACGAGTCACATTATGCATTAACGATATGGACAAAGGAACTGAGGGTATTTTTGCTAAGTTTGCAGATGACACAAAGATAGGTGGAGGGACAGGTAGTGTTGAGGAACAGAGAGGTTGCAGATGGCTCTGGGCAGGCTTGGAGAGTGGGCAAAAAAGTAGCAGGTGGAATACAATGTGGGAAAGTGTGAGGTTATGCACTTTAGCTGGAAGAATAGAGGTGTAGACTATTTTCTAAATGGGGAAAGGCTTCAGAAATCTGGAGGGACTTGGGAGTCCCAGTTTAGGTTGCTCCTAAGGTTATCCTTAGGTTAACCTTGCAGGTTCAACTGGCAGTTAGGAAGGCAAATGCAATGTTACCATTCATTTTGAAAGGGCTGGAATACAAGGCTGTGGTTAGTCTGTATTTGGAATATTGTGAGCGGTTTTGAGTCCCATATCTAAGGAAGGGTGTTCTGGTGTTGGACATGTCCAGAGGAGGTTTACAAGAACGATCCCAGGGCTGAAGAACTTGTCATATTAAGAGCGGTTGAGGAATCTGGATCTGTACTCAATGGAGTTTAGAAGGATGAGGGAGTATAGAACAAAAGAATGAAAGTACGGCACAGGAACAGGCCCTTCAGCCCTCCAAGCCTGTGCCGATCATCATGCCCTGACTAAACTAAAAAGCAAACCTTCTTCCCTTATTCAGTCCATATCTCTCTATTCCATCCATATTCATGTAACCATCCAGATGCCTCTTAAACGTCGTCAATGTGCCTGCTTCCACCACCTCCTCTGGCAGTGCATTCCAGGCTCCTATCACTCTCTGTGTGAAAAACATTCCTTGCACATCTCCCTTAAACTTTTGCCCTCTCACCGTGAACCTGTGGCCCCTTGTAATTGAAACTTCAACCCTGGGAAAAAGCCTCTGACTATCCACCCTATCTATGCCTCTCATAATTCTGTAGGCCTCTATCAGGTCTCCTCTCAGCTGCTGTCTTTCCAGTGAAAACAATCCTAGTCTTTTTAACCTTTCCACATAGCCAATGCCCTTGAGACCAGGCAACATCCTGGTGAACCTTCTCTGTACTCTCTCCAAAGCTTCCACATCCTTCTGGTAGTATGGTGACCAAAACTGCACACAATATTCCAAATGTGGCCCTACAAGGGTTTTATATCGCTGCAACATGGCTTGCCAACTCTTGTAGTCCATATCCCCGCCAATGAAGGCAAGTATGCCTTCTTAATCACATTGGCTATCTGTGTTGCCACTTTTAGGGAACTGTGGACCCACACGCCCAGATCCATGCTTATGTTAATGTTCCTAAGGGTTCTGCCATTAACAGTATAATTCACACCTAAATTTGATCCTCCAAAATACATCACCTCGCATTTATCTGGATTAAACTCCATCTGCCATTTCTGTGCCCAAGTCGCCAATCTATCTATATCCTGTTGTATCCTTTCACAATCGTTGGGACTATCAGCAATTCCACCAATCTTTGTGTCATCAGCAAACTTGCTTATCAGATCACCTACATTTTGCTCCGGATCATTTATATGATTGAAACATACAGATTACTGAGAGGCCTGGACATGGAGAAGATGTTTCCACTAACAACAGAAACTAGGACCTGGAAGCACTGCCTCATCGTGAAGGGATGACCCTTTATAACTGAGATGAGGAGGAATTTCTTCAGCCAGAGGGGGGTAAATCTGTGGAACTCATTGCCGCAGAGGGCTGTGGAGGCCAAGTCATTGAGTGTCTTTAAGACAGAGATAGATAGGTTCTTGACTCGTAAGGGGATCAAAGGTTACAGGGAGAAGACAGGAGAAATATGTTAGTAATGATCGAATGGTAGAGCAAACTCAATGAGCCAAATGGCCTAATTCTGCTTATGTATCTTATGGTCTAAACACTCACTGTAAAAATATTCTTTTCATGCCACCTTTTGCTCTTATGCCAATCAACTTACACTTGTATTCTGTAAAATTCTAAACTCTTTATCCAAGGAGGATACAGTCTATTCAGCACTTATAAGAACATAAGAAACAGGAGTAGGAGTAGGCTGTCTGGCCCCTCGAGCCTGCTGCACCATTCAGTAAGATCATGGCTGATCTTTTCATGGTTTCAGTTCCACCTACCCACCCGCTCACCATAACCCTTAATTCCTTTACTGTTCAAAACATTCAAAACATTAGCTTTCAAAACATTCAATGAGGAAGCCTCAACTGCTTCACTGGGCAGGCTCCACAGATTCACAACCCTTTGGGTGAAGAAGATCATCCTCAATTCAGTCCTAACCTACCAGACAAACCCTCGAAAAGTTATTTTTTTAATTCATTCGGGGATGTGGGCTTCACTGTTTGGGCCAGCGTTCATTGCCCATTCCTTTTTGAAGTTGGTGGTGAGCTGCCTTCTTGAACCAATGCAGTCCTTGGGGTGTAGGGACTGTTAGGTAGAGAATTCCAGGATTTTGACCCAGCAACACAAGGAATATAAATGGAATGTAATGCATATATATGAAGTATAATGCACATTAATACTCAAGGCAATATATTTCCATAATCAGGATGGTGAGTGGCTTGGAGGGGAATTTGCAGGGGGTGTGTTCCCATGTATCTGCTGCCCTTGTCCTTCCAGATGGAAGCGGTCGTGGGTTTGGCAGGTGCTGTCTGAGGATCTTTGGTGAATTTTGTATGTTTCAATGAGACTGCCTTGAAACTTTTTTATTGATGGGATAATGCAAAGGATGTCATGAGGCAGTACGTTATATATGATGACAGCACATCTCAAAATAGGAGGAACATTTCCCTCTCTATGTAATATTATGCTGTCCCTGTCCTGTGAATGTTTGATCAGGACTGTGTAGAGGAGGCGTTAGTCTGTATTTAACCCTGTGCTGTCCCTGTCCTGGGAGACTTTGATGGGGACAATGTAGAGGAAGCTTTACTCTGTATCTAACCCCGTGCTGTCCCTGCCCTGGGGGTGTTTGATGGGGACAGTGTAGAGAAGCTTTACTCTGTATCTAACCCCGTGCTGTCCCTGTCCTGGGAGTGTTTGATGGGAACATGGCGGAGGAAGTTTTGCTCTGTGCCTAAGTCCGTGCTGCCCATGATAGTGTGCGCTATAAATGGTGGAGGTAAAAGTTAAGGATGACACCAACCTACACAGCGGAGTCTTTGTTCTTTGTGCACATCCCTCTGTCCCACCACCAGAGGTATAAAGTGTATCTCACACAGTCCCACAAGCCGTTCCTCTCTCCGCGAGCGGTTGCCAGTGTTGCGCACCTCCCTTTTCAGGCTGCCCCTGGCCGCCTGGGCTTTTAGCCTCTTCCTGACTCGATCTTTATCGTTGTGTTGTTCATTATGACTGGTCCTCCTCTTCAGCAGGTTCTCACAGCGGCTTTTCAGGGCCAGGGTCATGCATTCGTAGTTACCTGGGGGAGCAGATCGAAGGACTTTTAATCATGTCTCACCTTAAGCACAGCACAGGAGACCATTCACCCCATTGTCTGTCCTTTACTCTATCCTGTTATAAATATTTATTCATTTATTCACTTTCCTTTTAAAATGCCTTCTGGATTCAATTTTCTTCTTCCATTTGCACATTAACTTTCTACATTTCTTGCCTTTGTTCTGGTCTTTAATGATTTATTCCATTGCTGCTCGTGGTCTCTGATCTACATTGATTTCTGGTCTAGCAACACCTCAGTTTTAAAAATCTCATCCTTGCTTCCAAACCCCTCCAGGGCCTTGTTCCTCCCTATTCTGTCATCTCCAGCCTAAAACCCTCTGAGATCTTTCTAACTCTCCAGTTCATATACATCCCCCATTCTAATCCTACCACCATTGGTGTGCTTTAGCCAGCTGGGTTCTAAACTCTGTAATTCCCTCCCTAAACGCTTCCATTCTCTACTCGCTTTCTTCTTTTACAATGCTCCTTTAGAACATAGAACATAGAACATTACAGCGCAGTACAGGCCCTTCGGCCCTCGATGTTGCGCCGACCTGTGAAACCAATCTGAAGCCCGTCTAACCTAAACTATTCCATTATCATCCATATGTTTATCCAATGACCATTTAAATGCCCTTAAAGTTGGCGAGTCTACTACTTTTGCAGGCAGGGCATTCCACGCCCTTACTACTCTCTGAGTAAAGAACCTACCTCTGACATCTGTCCTATATCTATCACCCCTCAATTTAAAGCTATGTCCCCTCGTGCTAGCCACCACCATCCGAGGAAAAAGGCTCCCACTGTCCACCCTATCTAATCCTCTGATCATCTTGTATGTCTCTATGAAGTCACCTCTTAACCTTCTTCTCTCTAACGAAAACAGCCTCAAGTCCCTCAGCCTTTCCTCATAAGACCTTCCCCCCATACCAGGCAACATCCTGGTAAATCTCCTCTGCACCCTTTCCAATGCTTCCACATCCTTCCTATAATGCGGTGACCAGAACTGTACGCAATACTCCAAGTGCGGCCGCACCAGAGTTTTGTAAGCTGCAACATGACCTCATGGCTCCGAAACTCAATCCCTCTACCAATAAAACCTAACACACCGTACGCCTTCTTAACAACCCTATCAACCTGGGTGGCAACTTTCAGGGATCGATGCACATGGATATCGAGATCTCTCTGCTCATCCACACTCCCAAGAATCTTACCATTAGCCAAGTACTCTGTATTCCTGTTACTCCTTCCAAAGTGAATCACCTCACACTTTTCCGCATTAAACTCCATTTGCCACCTCTCAGCCCAGCTCTGCAGCTTATCTATGTCCCTCTGTAACTTGCAACATCCTTCCGCACTAGCCACAACTCCACCGACTTTGGTGTCATCCGCAAATTTACTAACCCCATCCTTCTACGCCCTCATCCAGGTCATTTATAAAAATGACAAACAGCAGTGGCCCCAAAACAGATCCTTGAGGTACACCAGACGACATTTCTGAGCAGGCTTTAATTCACATGTGCTGCCATGTTCTCAGATGACAGAATGCTGTTGTGAAGCACCTTCAGATATTTTACTGCAATAAAGCTATTATATAAATGTGTTGTTGTACAGATTAATCAGTACTGCTTTACTCTTGCTCCCTGTCAATATTTATGAAATCTAAAATATAACCAATCTTTAAACAGTCCATCTACTAATAAGAAAAGATTTACAAGGATGTTGCCAGGGTTGGATGGCTAGAACTATAAGGAGAGGCTGTATAGGCTGGGGCTATTTTCCCTGGAGTGTTGGAGGCTGAAGGGGGACCTTATAGAGGACCTTATAAAATCATGAGGGACATGGATAGGGTGAATAGACAAGGTCTTTTCCTCAGGGCCAGGGAGTCCAAAACTAGGGGGTTTCGGTTTGAGGTGAGAGGGGAAAGATTTAAAAGGGACCTAAGGGGCACCTTTTTCACACAGAGGGTGGTGCGTGTATGGAATGAGCTGCCAGAGGAAGTGGTAGAGTCTGGTACAACTACAACATTAAAAAGGCATCTGGATGGGTTTATGAATAGGAAGGGTTCAGAGGGATATGGGCCAAATGCTGGCAAATGGGACGGGATTCATTTAGAAAATCTCATCGCTATGGATGAGTTAGACCAAGGGGTCTGTTTCTGTGCTGTGACTCTATGACTCTAAGTGATCACTTTAGTTTTGTTCCAGTGACCATATTGTGTGCACACTGTGAAACAGATGACCAGAACCTTTAAAGCAATATCCACTGTCTGTGTGACCTTGCTGTCTGTAAACTGATTACCTGCTGTGTTTGGCTGCAAAGCAAACCATCTTGTATTTCTGGCAACTGTAGAAGATGTGAAACATGTAAGTCAACTGGTTCACAGTGAGACCCCAGCACAGAAACCAGTTTATCCGACCGAGATCCAAATATTGACTCAGGGTGCCACAGAGAACTCCCTGACTCATATTTGAAATAGTGGCAGTGGGATCTTTGGCATGGTCATAGAGTCACAGAGATATATAGCACGGAAACGGACACTTCAGTCCAACTCCTTCATACCGACCAGATATCCTAAATTAATCGAGACCCATTTGCCAGCATTTGGCCCGTTTCCCTCTAAACCCTTCCTATTCATAAACCCATCCAGATGCCTTTTAAATGTTGTAATTGTACCAGCCTCCACCACTTCCTCTGGCAGCTCATTCCATACACACACCACCCTCTGCGTGAAAAAGTTACCCCTTAGATCCGTTTTAAATCTTTCCCCTCTCACCTTAAACCTGTGCCCTCTATTTTGGACTATCCTATCACTTGAAAGTGCAGCCAGGGCCACAGTTTAACATCTCACCTGAAAGACAGTACCTTCAACACTGCTGATGCCCCTCAGTACTGCACTGACTCACAATCAACAGGAGCTGCAGTTATTTGGGAGGTTCCACCAATATGATACAGTGCTGTTAAAATGGTTACTGCCTTCTCACATAAAGACTGAAATGGCTACAGAAACTCAGCAGGTCTGGCAGCATCTGTGAAAAGAGAAACAGAGTTATGTGTCAAGTCCAATATAGAAACATAGAAGATAGGAGCAGGAGGAGGCCATTCGGCCCTTTGAGCCTGCACTGCCATTCTTCATGATCATGGCTGATTGTCCAACTCAACAGCCTAATCCTGCTTTCTCCCCATAACCTTAGGCAAACTCTAGTCGCCTCTTGAATACATTCAATGTTTTGACATCAACTACTTCCTGTGGTAATGGATTCCACAGGCCCACCACTCTTTGGGTGAAAAAATGCCTCCTCATCTCCGTCTTAAATGGTCTACCCCGATTCCTCAGACTGTGACCCCTGGTTCTGGATACACCCACCATCGGGAACATCCTCCCTGCATCTACCCTGTCCAGTCCTGTGAGAATTTTATAAGTGTCTTTGAGATCCTCCCCCAATCGTCTGAACTCTAGCGAAAACAATCCTAACCAATTCAGTCTCTCCTCATATGTCAGACCCACCATCCCCGGAATCAGCCTGGTAAACCTTCGCTGCACTCCCTCGAGAGCAAGAGCATCCTTCCTCAGAAAAGGAGACCAAAACTGCACACAATATTCTAGGACTTGAAACCTTTCGCAATGAAGGCCAACATCCCATTTGCCTTCTTTACTGCCTGCTGCACCTGCATGCTTACCTTCAGTGACTCTTTGGGACACTCAGATGGGATTCTGAAGAAGAATCATACAAGGCTTGGAACCATGATGTGGAGGTGTCAGGGTTGGACAAAATCAGAAGTCACATGATGTCAGCTTACAGTCCAACAAGTTTATTTAAAATCACAAGCTTTTAGAGTCCTGCTCCTTCATCAGGTGATAATTATGGTCACTGGAACCAAACTAAATGGTCACTTATAGGTAGATGGACTATTTAAAGGTTGGTTATGTTTTAGATTTCATAAATATGGACAGGGAGCACAAGAGTAAAGCAGTACTGATCTATTTGTACAACAACTAACAATTATATAACTGGTTTAATAAAGTAGTAAAATGTCTGAAGGCGCTTCACAGCAGCATTCTGTCACCAGGTAAATTAAAGCCTGCTCACAGAGGTTGTTTTAGAGGTGCACTTCACCTGATGAAGGAGCAGACTTGAAACATCAACTCTGTTTCTGTCTCCTCAGATGCTGCTAGACCTTCAGATCTCCAGCATCTGTAATATTTAGCTTTTATTGCATTCTCATATTTGACCTCAGGATTTCACAGTAATGGAGTGAGAAATTCAGCTAGGAATTCCCTCCTAATCACATTGTGTGGGGCTGCTGCTTAATGTTGTGTGAGGGCAGCTTCTAGTCAACTGTGGTGCCCCATGTGGTTGATTAGACAGCTAACACTCAAGTTCTGAGCTCATAGTTTTCCCTCATCATTCACAGGACATTCATTTGTTGCCCAACCCTAATTGCCCTTGAACTGAGTGTCTTGCTTGGCCTTTGCAGAGAGTTTAGAGTCATCTATAAGTCTGGAGTCGCGTGTAAGCTAGACTAGGTAAGGATGCGATTTGCCTTCCCTAGATGGGGATTTTTTTCAGTCCAGTTACATGTTCATTGTTACTGATGCTAACTTTTTATTCCAGATTTGTTTATTTAAATTTCCCAATTACCTCAGTGGGATCTGAATTCCTGTCCCCAGAATGTCTGGTGTAGGCCCTTGGGTAACACGTTCATTAATATAACCACTACATTACCTTGCTGTTAGAAGGGCTATCCCTTTAGAGAGTAATTTGCTCCTGTGGGACACTGTGCCTCAGTGAGAGTCAATGCCCCTGGGACAGAGCGGTAATGATGCCTGAGTCCTCAGCATCTGTTCGAATCCACGTAACTTGATCAAAGCATCAATATCAGGAGCAAAATTATACTGTCTCACTGGCAACATATCTCCATAACCAAAAATAAAGAGCAATAATATAATCAGCAATCTAAATTATAATGAACTCTATTTAACAAGGGCCAATGGATAACATTAACCCAGGAACATATACCAAATGCAGCAATAACTAACAATATAGAACAAAACCCAGCAATATGCTGTCAGAACAAGAATGTAACAATAAAACAGCCATAAATAATGATGCAAAAGCACAAAATATCCACAAATGCACCTAAAAATAGGCAAAAAAAATACAAGTCTGCGAACTTCCAAAATATACCAGTATCAAAAGCATATCTAAACCTAATACCCAACCAAACTTCCTGCAAAACCAGGCACTGAATCTAGACACAGCCCCAAGCTGACTATCGGTCAGGCACAGTCCCACATTGTTAGGTGCAGTCAGACACATTTCCTCACAAACCCAAACATTCACAGCCCCTTCAACCAGACACAATCACAATCTCTCATCTAGTTCTCTCCTACTCTGCTTTCTCCTCTGTGGTGTTTACATTTTATTTCCTCTGACCTTTAATTCTTTATAAGAAATCTGGTTACAGCAAACCCCTGTTCATGTTATTAAAAATTAATGAACGGCTCTCATTCTCCAGGTCACAGACTGGGTTTCTGACTATTTTAACTTTTCTATTTTGTTTTGGTTTTGAATCCATTTCAACTTTTGTTTTCTCTGCATTTAATTTTGGCTTTTCCATCCTACTCTCTCCTCCTTTGCCTTTCAGTTCTTTCTGCAATCTCTCTCCCTGTGGCCCAGACACTCTAATCCCTCTCTGGTTATCCCAGATCAACCTCCAACCATGCAATTAGTTAACTTCTACTCTCCAGCTAGTCAATAGGAACAGGGCTGGTCCATCAGGACTGATGCACCACAACAACAACAACTTGCATTCACCTAGCATCCTCAACGTACTAAAAACATGTCCCAGGGTGTTTCACAGGGCGATTGTCAGACTAAAGTCTAACACTAAACCACAGAAGTTGACATTTGGATCCAAGAGCCTGGATAAAGAGGTTTCTTTCTGAATGAATGCCCTGAAGGAGGAGAGACAGGTTTAATGATGGAATTGCAGACCTTGGGTCCAGGTAGCATGAGTAAGTACAGCGAAGTGAAGGAAATTGAAGGATGCAGTGGGGACACGAGAGGAAGACTGTTTAATGCTTACCTAAATACAGTCCCTCCCGGATCCCACATCTCCGCTCATTCACGTTGAAATCAATGTAGAAGACAGTAACCGGGTGGCCAAAGCTGAGCTCGGGACTAGGGTCGAGGGTGAGGACGGCGTCGTGAGGAGATCCCAGACTGAGACCAGAGTCCGGCAGGATGGTCAGCAGTTTCTCCCCAGCCCGAGGCTCTGCTGCATAGACCGCTACAGCTGTCTGCGGGATCTCTGCCAGTCGCTTGCACTCGGAGTCAGACAGGAAGGATACCCGCTGGCACAGGCTGGATTTCAGGTAGCCCAGGCTGGCTGTAGACCAGCGATGAAGCCGGGCAGCTTTGAACTGCGAGCCCTCGGCCCCCATCAGCTCAACGAGAATCGCCACGGACAACATCCATTCCCAGTGCCAGCTCATGACCAGGATCACCAGTCAGCACAGGGTCCCCAGGGAGGGGTAAGAGAGTGGAAACCCCCCACACACACTGGTGATCAGTCACAGGGCGCAGGCACTTGCACACTGAGTCCTGGCTGTGTCAGCTAAACACTCACACATGCACACTCAGCAATAACTCAGGGGGGGTGGGGAACACACTGTCCAGCTAACTGCTCCACACTGTGCTCAGGCACCACAGCCGCTTGAAGTCAGCTCTGAAATGCTGGCTCCACCTTCCCGGTCGGGCGGAGCTCGGAGTCACAGCATCTCCCCAGCGAACAGGAGGCAGGCACAGGATCCCTCAGCGGGGAGACTCTCACACCCTCACACTCACTCACACTCATACTCACACTCACACACACACATACCCTCACACACGCACACAAACACACGCTCACACACACACACACACATAACGTACACACATGCACACACACACTGTCTCTGTCTCACACACACACACACACACATACCCTCACGCACACACACACACTCACTCATACACATACACACACACACATATGCACTCACACACACAAACACACACACACATGCACACACACACATACACACACACATACACACACACATGCACATACACACACACGCTCACACATACACACACATGCGCGCGCACACACACACACACACTGTCTCTGTCTCACACACACACATACCCTCACACACACACACATACACACACACACACGCTCACACACACACACACGCTCACACACACACACACACACTCACAGACACATACACACACATACACACACATACACAC